TCGTTCTATTTTAGAAGTACATTTAAAGGTGCTTCTACCGTACATTACCTGACAACAGAAACTGCACGTTGCATATTGAGACGTACGGTTATTATTCTTTTAGCTCATATCGGATTTGAAAAATCTTCGGATATAGCTATAGAAACACTTACGGACATCGCGGACCATTTTCTAAGGAGGATAGCGTTGCTAATGAAAGGAGCGTATGAACAAAAGAATCACGGTTTTCCAGTAAATGAATTTCAATACTTGTCGTTTAATTTATGAATATGGGGTATTCGAACGAAAGAGAGATGTGCATGTATTCTTGTAGGACATAGTAGAAAGGGTGCTGCTGGAAACTGGCGTGGGCGGTATAGCCACTCTGCATGACTACTATCAAGAATACGTATTAAAATTTGAGGAGAACATGAAGCGGAAGGTTGAAACGATGATGGAAAAACAGAGGCAACTTGAACTTCATTCTTATAATTCTGAGTATTGTATTGGGGTGGCTGGAAAGTTCGTGCGGTTAGCACCTGAAGTGAAAGTAGCACCAAAACCTGCACGAGCTTTCTGACCAACCCAATATATGACGTTTTTGACGTAATGACGTAAATGAAATATTTATTTTTCCTTAATACGTTTGTACTTTATAGGATGGTTTTAGATGAAGCGGCTAACAAATTGCAATTTGAGGAACTCGATGAATTTGGTAATGTCTATCAAGAAGTGCCGACGCTTCAACTGTTAGATCCTGAAATGGGCTTCCCACCAAGTCTCGATGCTGGCTTTCAAATGCTCTATAGTCTCGAGCAAGATGAGTAAGTTACATCATATTATAAACATAAAATTATATTATCAGATAATGTCGTAATGTCGATGATTATAGATTGAACAATTTGGAAGTAGAGGAGGAAGAAGTTAATGTGAGTGATTCACCTAGTACTGGGCAACGACTTGATACATCAAGTGATAAGAAGAAATCTTGATACATTTGATAATCGTTCTAGATTTTTTATT